TTAAGTTAACGGAGCTACACGTGTTCTGCTGAGCGAAAAATGTACCATATTATTACGCATTTGTAAGACGGAGACAACACATACGGGTATCACGTCTTCTTAATTAATTAATATTATTATGTAATATTGTATAAATTAAAAATAGTAACATAAATACAATTTTTAAAAATTGAAACAAATATCATATAATGATAAATATCAAAAGTATTAAAATATACGTTTAATGACAGTAATTCAGTTTATTATTTCATTTTTATTTTAAAGGTATATCTATTAACATAGGTTGAGGTACTTTTATTTTAGTACGATTTTTTTTTTTTACAAATTCAATATGATATCGTACATAATATTAGATAAATTATCATGCTTATTATATGATTTACCATACCTAATTTTGCTATTAATGTACATAATTATTTTTGTACAAGTATATATTAAATGCAATAAAAGTATCTGAGTTATGCACTATATAGTAGTTATGTATATATAGTTCAAAGGTTGACCGTTTGTGTAGGGACGGTGTGGATATCAGAGAGGTTGTATCGATCGCGACTAGTGTTGCCTTGACGACGACCAGCGCCAGTGTCGGAGATAAGATCTTCATGTATATATAATAGGTGTATATATAGATATAGATATTTTGGTATGTATAATACATTTATGTGTACACACACACACACACACAAACACATAAACTCAATTTCATGCATATACAGTATCTGGGCAACTGAGCATATGTATACGGATTTCGGTGTAGATGGTACATCGCTATTTTTTAATGGTTTTTTGTAGGTAATGTGTAATTAGTCGTGAGTGATGTATAGATTGAAATATATAGATATGTGTAAATTAAAAAATTAGGTTATGTATTTATTTATTTATGGTTTAAATTTCGAAATGGAAATCAATAAGTAATATAAATTATACGTTTGAGATAGAAGGAAACGTTCGAGAACGTTTCGTGGTAATGRCATAAGTTATAAAAAGCAAATTATATCTACACATTTTTTACAAAATCCAAGAAACTATTTCGAATATCGGATCACTTGTTTCTCATTGGAATATTATACAATGAATTTAACAAATTTATATTTCATCTGATGGATGTTAACATTCAATGCACTTGACCTTTATTTTGTACAATCTTTCCAAACATTTATAACATTGTAAATGATACCAAGAAACCTCTATAAATCTCTTGCCTAGTCCAATCAAAAATCAAAATATATACACGGAATATTGAATAGATTTTCGTTTGTATWGTATCACAAATTACTATGACAAATACTAGGTTAGTTATTATCTGCATTGAGTATAAATGATTTCAATAAAAGATGTCACTTTAAATTTTCATCATTTAATAGATTTGCCAATAAATTATACCTATAATTATCACGGATTTAAGGAAGATCATAAATTAAAGGTAATGTATTATACAATGAAGCAATGTGAAGAAAGATTCAAGTATTATAGACATCAGGTGGGATGGATTGAGCAGTCATCCAAAACTGCAACGGTTAAAATTTTAATTGGACTAAAATGTCTCTTGATGGACTGCGACGAATGCAACTAACGAAGAGAGACCAAAGTTCAATTAGTGTCAACGTGAACATCACATGATTATTACTATGCATGTGACAATTTATTAATGATCTCGTCTATGTTTAAGTGCGTGTGTTTCACTGTCTCTATTTTATTTTTTCATCAGTCCGAATCAATACTAATAATAAATAGATTATAACATTTTGGATATTGAGTATTTACCGTTGTTTCATCTTCGTGGAGCACTTGATCGTACTCTGACATGGCAACACAAAATATGATCGCCGTGACATCTTCAAAGCAATGAATCCATTTTTTCCTTTCTGATCGCTGACCACCAACGTCAAACAATCTGTTTGTAATATGAATTGTAAATTAGTATTTAAATCAAAGTACTGAATATTAACAAAAACTTATACTCACTTGAAATTAAGGTTTTTAAATGAAAAATGCACTTCTACAATACCAGTGGTTTTTACTCTGGTACGCAATATATCCTGTTCTGTAGGCTGGTAATCTTTGGACCCTAACCTATCCAGATCGTCCAGAAAACTAAACAAAAATTACAGTTATTACTATCCACTCATRTATATGTAAATAAAAAATAATATAATGATAATTAATAATTATTATTATTATAAATATATTTTATTATACATATTTATTTTTTGTAGGGGAATCCACGCCAACATAGACACGTGTTTGTGTATGTGAAGCAAGGATATATGTCGCGAAAAACCCCGGGTGATCACCCATCCGGAAGCTAGCAACTGCGTTTCCGCAGATTGAACGTACGACCACGCCTTAGCAAGCCACCTAATTATTTCGGATTTAAGATGACGCGTAAATATTGAGAATGGTGAATACATTTTACATAATACTAATACCTACGCCCTACATACTAGGCATAAACATACCGAAGAGTACATATTAAATAAGAAATCAATTAAATTCATAATCATTATGACCCTCACATATCGGTTATCTAATACTACCTTAAATAAATAAAAACTTAGAATAAAAATGTTGRTAGTTTTATTTGTTAAAAGTGTACATTTTCTTTTGAAATTATATTTTTATTAACTTTATTAAAGTTTCATTATTTATTACATAGTTTGAACAATTTTAATAAAGCTTGTGAAGAAAAATTGACAGATTTTCGATGATTTTAGTCATTACCAAATATTTTAATAATTACTATCATCGATTCATAGGAATAAAAATCCTATCTGGTAAACACATTTAGAAAGTTACTGGATTTAGGATTTTTAAACTGTCAACAGACACTGTGATTATCACAGATGTCAGGTGATCAGCGTTTTCAATATTAATAGTGAGTCTAATAAAAATAAAAATTAAATAATACACATGATTATTGTATTTTATTTATATCCAAATAGTTTATAATAGACAAATCAATTTAATAAGAAATATTTTTTATCCACTATTAGTTATTAAATATAGCTAATAAAATATC